CATACGTAACTGAGAAGTTATTTTCAACATCAAAAAAGGGGGGAACATGATAAAAGATAGGATATTATGCCTAAAGGAAATTAAGTCATCTCACGATAAGCACACTTTTCCCGACCCCATGCATAGTCCAAATTCATTCAAGGAAGAATAAAAATAAATAAAATAAAATTCACCTTCAGTCTTTATGTAACGTGATAAATTACGTTTCCAGTCATTGCCCCCCCCCCACCCCCATATAAAAAAATAATAACAACAAGAACATGCTAACATATTTTACATAAGATTTATTATTTTAAGCTGAAAATAATGGTGAACATCAATAGTAAAGTATTTGAAAGACTGTGAGTCTTTCGTTTAAAGAAGGCCACATGAATATCACTAGTTCTCATTTTCTTAATGACTCCACTGATATGAAGTGATTGTGACATTGAACATCTCGTAGTGTCTTCAGAAGCATCACGACTCCAAATTTCATCCGAACTCATAAATGCAGACCATCGCTCAAAGAAATTGTCATAATAAAAAGTCACAGGCAAAACAACAGTGTCAGTAAATCCACAGCATCTGTTGTTTTTGAGGTTAATATAATTTTCTACAATGATACATAGTATAGAATTGAAATTCTAACAATAATGCTCAAAACACATTACACATACCCAAGGACAAGTAAACATGCATCAGAGTAAATGTACAAAATATGTTCTACAAATGTAGAATCCTAAAATATGTTTTAGTTGGTTTCCATCTTTTTTATCATATTTTAATTACAAAGATCACATTTATCAGTACAGATATGTTCTGTATTTTCCATGAATCCCACAATGTGGAAAATCAGATACTATGTTGACCTCCAATGAACCTTTCACCTTTGGTCTTTTTTTTCTCCCCAAAAAATAAAAAAAAACAACCTTCAGAGTGTAAACAACATCTATGGCCATACAGACAGGATCTTCAAAAGGCTGGACCTGGTTATCATTTGAACACGTAAACCCCAACACATCAGACTCAACAGTTGATGCCAAACAGAAAAATAATAGTGTTGCACGAAACCTGTAAATACTAGCAATAATAAACACTTAAAGGGATAGTTCACCCCCAAAATAATTTAAAACTTCTGTCATCACTCAATCATCAGTTTTAAACTAGGGCTGCACGGTATATCGTTTTAGCATGGACATTGTGATGTGCCCATCTGCAATAGTCACTAATGGATTAGTTTTACAATCTCTTTATGAACTTTTTGAAGCGTCAGTGGTAGTTGTGTAGCTGTTAATGGAGGGACAGAAATCACTTTAAATATCATTTAAAATATCTTCATTTGTGTTCCGAAGCTACATTTTATTCAAAAATTAGAGTTCCATACACTGTAAAAATGAATACGCTTTATCTAATCAATAAAATTGTGGCAACAGATTACAAGCAATATTATTAATTAAATTGAACAAATTAGAATTGAGTAATAATTAATCAAATTATTCCTTAAAAGTTAACCATTTAAAATGAGAAAAGTTTACACAAAAAATTAAACAAAGACTTCTTAATTAATCTTTAATGTCTGTCTGTTATTCAGATATTTTTATTTTATATTGCCAACATTGAAGACACCTGATTAACACCTGGTTAACAAGCAGAATCAATGAAGGAGAAACCTAAAACAAACACCGATCACCATAATGGCGACTTAAATGTAAGTTTTGTTTGTAAGTTTTACTAATTTTAAATGGTTTACTTTTAAGGAAATAATTTGAATAATTATTACTCAATTCTAATTTGTTAAATTTAATTAATAATATTGCTTGTAATCTGTTGCCCCAATTTTTTTGATTAGATAAAGCATATTCATTTTTACAGTGATTCTTACTATATAATACTATTGTTTTATTATCAAATAGAATGCTCAATATACAAACTTTTATTTATTTTGTTAGATTTCTTTTAGATTTTGTCTTAAAAAAAAACATTTTAGTTTTTTTTTTTTTTTTTTTTACATTATTTTAAATGTCAAGCTTTAAGGGGTTAAGACAAAATGAGGGCGAGTAAAAGAGGATGGAAGTTTTATTTTGGGGTAAAGGTAAACAATCCCTTTAAGAGCAGAAGATGGTTTGGGCACAAATGTTGACTGATGCACAGGACACATTACCGGTATATTAAATATAACATTATAAGACAGCGTACACATAATACATTTTCAGCACACAGTAAAACAACAATAAAACCTGTCTGGGTTATTCATTTTTTTTTTTTTTTAAAGTCATGCTATTGTAATACTATGATTTTTTACTATGTCATTTTAATACCATAATAATCTTTACCATGTCTAATCAAGTACCTTGTAAATATCAAGGAATATGAATGTTGTTAATAATTCAGTACCATGGTGATTTTCATTACCATTACTGTACCTCGACAGTACTTTTTATATCAGTAAAATTGAGTATTCAGAATGACACGTACCTCCCTGTCCAAAAGCGTGAAAATAAAACTGCTTTGTTGTTTATGTCTGGCAACTCAATTGTGTTTAATAGAGCGCAAAAGTGCCCCGACCGGAAAGAGATGTAAACAAATTTTGGTGGGTTTAGTGCTTGTTAGTTTAGGTTAAAGTGTGTTAATCTAAAACGTCCTTCAAAACATAATGCTTCCATGTAACAGCCAGTCCCATCAACAGAGACACAAAACCTTAATCAATGAAACACACAGGCGATAGAGAAGAGATGGTGTTACCGAGGCGGGTGGGACACTATGTTACACAGCAGCAGGGCCTCGTCCGGAGGCGGGACCAGAGAGGAGGTGTTTTGAGAAGAGTTTTGGCAGTGGAGAGATCAGCTCCGGATCAGGGTCAGGAACTCGTCCCGTGTCTTGGGGTCCTCGCGGAAAACGCCCAGCATGGTGCTGGTCACAGTCTTGCTGTTCATCTTCTGGACGCCTCGCATAACCATACACATGTGACTGGAGAGAAAATCAATCTTGAGTTCTAGTCAGACATAGCATTGTAAAATAATGTTGAACTTGAATTTTCACATACGTGGCTTCAACAACCACTCCGACGCCAGCAGGCTGTAAAGCTTCAGTGATGGCGACCGCAATCTGTTTAGTTAGACGCTCTTGAACTGAAATGAGAGAAGCCGACAGATCACAACTATTGAGAATATGTCAGTGTGAAGTTTTACAGCTATTGGTGAAACAAACAAGGATTTCAAAGGTGTATGAATAATATTCCATGGTACAATTGTTTACCTTGCAATCTCCTGCTGTATATCTCAACAATTCTGGTGAAAAACAAAAAGCATTAACATAGTTAATAATTAAGCGTAATTTATACACAATATACCTCCATTGAATGTAATAGTGGTTTGATAACAGAAACTTTATTGCTGAGAGATTTCAGTTGTTGATAGGTGTATTTTCAGGAATAAAGTCTATATTTTTATTTAAACACAATGTAAACTAACAACGAACGCTCAATTTAGACACTTAAGCAAGTTAATTAAAAAATGTTTTGTATTAATATAAATATAATTCATTATAATATATACATTTTGTAACATAATACATTACCGTTCAAAACTGTATACTTTTAAACCGATCAAAAATCTTTGTAACATTATTAATGCCTTTATTGTTTCAAATAAATGCTGTCCTTTTGAACCTTCTATTCAAAAGAAAATGTAAAAATTTTAATTTCCACAAAAATAATAAGCAGCACAACTTTTTTCAACATTGATAATAATAAATATTCCTTGAGCAGCAAATCAGCATATTAGAATGATTTCACTCGACTCGACTAAGACTCGAGTAATGATGCTGATTAAATTTTAAAATATAAAATACTTGAAAAAAAGAATAAAATTATAATAATAATAATAATAGAAAATTAAATCATGTGTAAATAGTATTGTAAATATTTCAAAAATCTTATCGGCGTCACCAAACACATATTTTTTTGTATATTTAAATATAATACTAATGAGTAGAACAAACACAATAAAAAAAAAATCATTTTCCACATAATGTCAAATATAACTTAATATCAAAAACTCTCTTTCATGTTTGACCATTTGATCAGCAGTGATCCATTAAACTACAAGGCAAATGGAAAGGTCTACAGGAAAGCCACAGCCATAAAAATGAAACAATAACCACTTTTAGAAATCAGAAATCCAACTGTGTGTGTGCACGTGTGATTAAGTGTGTGTGCGGTACTGGTAAGAGTTATATGACTGCTGTTGTCATGTCTTCATTAGTGGAGTGTAGTATTACGGTTGGGACATTGTGAGATGGATAAGCCACAGGTATTGGGGTCAAATTGAATCAAGCTTCTCTTTGTCACACACATTGTATCTAATCCTCTTACAGACACTTACACCCTCATTGCTTCAAACACACGCACACACGTGCATCTTGATTTCACAGACGAAAAACATTCCTGAGGCGAAAAAAGCCATTAATCTCCTTCACTCGAGCGAATGCTGCTGATTTCATTGTGGCAGGATAAATTTGCATGCTTCTGAAGAGATCCATTAAGATTCAATACTGCACCAGGAAAACATAAACTCACCCGCAATGGGCCAAAAGAAAGGGTTAGTTCACCCCAAAAATGAAAATTCTGTCAGTAATTAATCACCCTCATGTTGTTCCAACCCTGTAAGACTTTCGTTCATCTTCGGAACACAAATGAATATATTTTTGATTAAATCTGATCACTCCTCCTTAGGCTTTTAAGAGATCTAAACTGGCCGGCCCAAAAGTTATGAAAGACATCGTTAAAATAGTCAGAGTGACTACAGTGGCTCAATCTTAAGTTTATCAAGTGACGAGGGATGCATTTTGTGTGCAAAAAACAAACAAAAATAACGACTTTATTCAACTATTCATTTCCTTCTCTGTTGGCCACTGTAGTCACTCGGACTATTTTAACGATGTCTTTCGTAACTTTTGGGCCGGCCAGTTTCGATCCCTTAAGAAGCCTATGGAGGAGTGATCAGATTTAATCAAAAATATATTCATTTGTCTTAACAAATTAACAAACCCTTTAAGCCATGTCACTACATAATACAACAAAACGTTAAATATATTTTATTATATGGCATGTGGGGAATTGTTTTGGGTTGGGGGTGCTATAGTATGGGAGAAATAGGAATAGTATATAAAGATGTAATTAAACTTGTTAATGCCACGAAGCATAACAAACAATCCCTGAGAACGGGCTACTGAGGTATTTTCTTGGTTTTTGCAGGCAGTAAACGAGGAGTGCAGAAACCCACCAGTAGGTGGCAGCAAATGAATGAGTCGTTGAATCATTCATTCAAATCAATTCGCTCAAAAACACTGATTCTTTCAGGAACGAAACAGAACGCAAGACGCGTGCAGCAGTTCTGTTGTGGCTTTGTTTGAAACTATTTTCGTTGAAGGAGCAAAAACAGACAATATGTGTCTAAAATGTCAATTACTTAATATTAACTTATTTTTTTAAAAGTTCTATAACATCAACATTAAATTTTCAAAATAATTTTCAGGAAGAAACAGCACTCTTGCTTGTGCGACAGCTTATTACTTAACTACATTATTACACAGTAAATATGAAACCCGAAATCTTTTTTGGGCCATGTTCATTTTGAAGGCATTTTTGCCACAAAGGCCTTGTTAATTTCACTCTGGTTTATTTCAATCAAGATCTATGAGGAATACAATGATAGACTATTTCCATTTTGAGAAGGTAAACTATGTAAAATTAAAAGAGTTTAATTGCGTTTATAAACCTGTGAAAACAGAGCTGCAGAGCGCCCCTGTATTTATAATATACACATACTACAGTTCAAAGGTTACGGGTCAGTAAGATTTTTTTTTACATGTATGTTTGTTTAAAAAGTCTCTTACGCTCACCAAGGTGACTTTAAAAAAAATATTTAAATAAACGTAAACAAATTATTTTTAAAAATCTTCCTGACCCCACATACAAATTTTGGTTGAAATGTTTGTTTTTTACAACTTTTTCAAAAATTATTTATTATTTATAATACTTTCTGATTGTCAAATAGTAGTACATATCCAGAGTTCATGTAATAACCTACACTTGTGGTTAGTCTGCTAGGACTATATTTTGTTATCTAATGCAATGACTGGTGGAAGATGGAAGTGTCTTAAGAGTCCAAATACTTCTTAATAAGAGGCCACTCTTCGAGAAAACACAAATTGAGGATGTAAACGAGAAAAACATTTTTCAAATCATTAAAGTAGGCATGAAATGGAAGTAGTTATGTCTTTTCTTCTCAATAGTGATGTGTATCAGAAACTGATTCTCGAACAAGAAAAATGTGAATTAATTGGATGGTTGTGGTTTGCTATTGCTGTGATGTCATGTGAGTGACAGGTTGTGCCGCCCTCATGCAGATGTCCATGTGAACAGATGTCGAGAAAAAGTTATTTTGATTAAAGATTAAAAGGGCATTTGAATTTATAAAAATAATAATGTGCATAGATGAAACATTTGTAATAAACACTTCAAAAATCCATTAAAAAAAAAACAAGAATTGTCAATTTGGATTTCATGGACAATGTTGCATGAACATACCCACTAACTAAGTCTCAAGAACTAACAAAGTTTGGACTAATCAGTCTTACTTTTCAGATTCAAATGAGACCAATCTACCTTTTCAAGTAACGGACCAGTCTTGAAGGAAAAAAAATGTTATGGCTAACTTAAGACTAGTCAAAGCAGTTTATGCAACCGGCCACAGGGAGTATTTGACCTACCGTGCTAATTTACTCAGACCAAGAACCCTCTTGTTTGGAAGGTAACCTATATGCACCTGTGAAAGACAACACATTAACTGACAAGTTACAGAAAGATATAACTGCAAAACATGGGAGTTATACACAATTCTTCCAGAACTATGGTTTCTTTTACATGATAACCTGTTGCAAAACTATATATTGGCACGAGCAAACAACATGTCACAGAATCAGACTATAAAACTAAAACCTACAGTGAGTAAAACAGTGGCTGGAGAGAGCCGTATCTGTCCATGTGCATCTTCACACCCCTCGACCCCCCTCCCCCTCCACCATCAAACTCAAATGTCACCAACAATTTGATGAAACGGCCCAGAGAAAGGGCAGCATCAACAGACATGCAAGGCTTTTCTCTTTTTTCTCTTCAAATGCGATAATCCTGCACGTCACTGAAACCTCTCGGCCTTCTTTCCGGGCCGGCAAACTCCTCTCGACATCAATCGAACTTTACCAAGACCACAGAGCACCTGGGAAACGAGCAAAGTGCTTTTTGTGGCGAAATCCACTTAGGACCAACAGGTAAGACACGCGGCGGCTGTATGTACGGTAGATATGTTTCTAGTGTAAGAGAGCGCACTTGATCGGCTCGGTGTTCGTGATGGACACTAAGAGTGTTGTGAGGACAATCACGGAGATAGAGGACGCTGAAGCGCAAGCAAGAGGGCCAAAAATGAAAGAGAACGGGCGCACGCCTCTTTGAAAGAAATTGGTGAGTCATTATCTTGTTGCAGATGCGGAGAGAGAGGCGAGGTAAATAGATGAGAAGGAATAGGGAGCTATCAGCGGGGGACGCAGTGGAAACCAGAGCCCTACAACAGCATCTGACAAACAAAATTGCAAGTGGTGGAAAAAAAAGCGTTCAGTGCGCTTGATCAATGGCTCAGTCTATCATCAGTAGCCATTTGTGGCATGACAGGATCGACGGCGTCTCTTTTGTCTTAAATGGCAGACACCTGCGGTGTTATGAGCTCGAGGGAGGTACTAAATGTCAAACCTGGAGGATTTAAAGTGGCCATTGTTTTTCAGTGGAACTCAGATCTGATATTTCAGCGTGTTCTCGTTACCTGCTTCCAGATTTAATTGTAGCTAATTAACTTGGTTATTGACAGATTACACATCAAGGTTTTTCAGGTGCATGCATCAAACTAAAGAAAGAAGCTGTTTCTGCCTTCAAGTGGGTGAATCTCGCTCTCAAAAACAAATCCACGTTATATTTCACCCCACAATCACAAAAAATAAACATTAAAGGCAATTTAATGACATTTTTTTCATAATAATTACGCAATTTCTCATTGTGATTTTTAGTTGGCATAAATTGACTTAAAACACTACTTACTTCATTTATTTGCCAAAATATAAATTCTTAATAATAATTTATATAATGCTAACATTTCTATATTTTATTTAGGGCTGTCAAACGATTAATCGCGATTAATCGCATTCAAAATAAAAGTTTGTGTTTACATAATATATGTGGGTGCACTGTGTATAATTATTTTGTATATATATATATATACGTATATATATATATATATATATATATATATATATATATATATGTATAAATACACACGCTTGTATATTTAAGAAAAAAACATTATTTATATATAAAATATTTATATATAATATAAATTATATATAAATCTATATACTGTACATGAAAATATTTCTTAAATATATACAAGCATGTGTGTGTATTTAAATATATAAAATTATTATACACAGTGCACCCACATATATTATGTAAACACAAACTTTTATTTTGGATGCGATTAATCGCGATTAATTGTTTGACAGCCCTAAGAAAAAAATAAATAAAATCAAAAAAGTTATAATAATATAATATATTAAAAATTGATCATAAATAATATTTTAATTGAAAAAGATTAAATAAAGACTTTAAATAGAGTATCATAAAAGCCTTATAGGATAGAGGTGCAACAAATTAACTTGTAAAACTACATATTAAATGCAATTTTTTTTTGGTTTCTCAAATACGGTCATAAAAATTGCACAAGGGTGGCATATGCTAATGAAGGAAAAAGGGAAATGTTTAGTCTTACCCGGCCAAAAATGGGAACTAAATGGTGTTCACACATGGAAAACATGTCGATATCCTTCACGATCACCATCTCGTCATGATCTTCGTCAAAGATTGCGTCATTCAGGACATCTACAAGAAAATACAACAACAAATCAAGATATGACATCATGAAATCATTATATTTCACCCCATACGCTCTTCCTGTTGCGGCCCTGTGTCATTTCTCTAAGCTTCAATCATTGTTCAAACATATCCCATTTTATCTATTGAGAATGAACTGTCTTTTCTTGTGGGGCTTTTTAATTTCCTGGCTGCCTATCTGAGGGAAGGTTTCCGTGGAGACATGGCAAACTGATGGCGGAGCCTTGGGGGTTTTGTTGAGATGTGACTCCAATATTTTGTTGCCACTTTTGTGCAGTCACTGTGTGATTGAAAAAGGCAGAAAGCAATCATTTTTCAAACTGTTTATGACTACCTGACAGGTGTGACAGCAATTAATAACAAATATTTTTACATTTTGAAAAAATAAATAAATAAATAAATTAGCAGTGCTCACTCATCAAAATTCGTCATCCTGTTGTGGCTGGTTGTTAGTTTGTTGCAAGGGTGTTACGGGTCTCAAAAGAGTATCTGTGAAATTCTGGTCATGTGACTAATGCCTGGTTAGGATTACACAATTTTTACAATAGTCTGTTACAATAGTCACTGTGTCAGATTACGCGATTTTGACTCCTAAAATCTTGTGGTGTCGTGCACAAGAAATATGTCAGACTACAAGTTGCTACCTGACCGTCTTTAACGAGGCGCGTGATGTCATCGAGAAGGCGAGACTAGTAGAGAGTGACTTCCAGAAATGAACGTAAACAAACAATGGATGAAGCGGTGAGTGTTTTATTGGCTGTCCTGTGTTCAGAAAAAAGTAAAAAAAGAAAGAAAACCTGACAATGGACACGTTCCTGGATTGCTCGAAGAGGACAGTATGGGCCGTCAATCCTCCAAAGAGAACTTAAGGTAAAATATTGTTTTCGTATATATTTTTACTTTTAGTTTTAACGTTAGCACCATCGTCTCTCTTTCGTTTTGCCATTTTTGAAAGTTGTGTACGGAAAAGCTTCTGTGAACCTATTGGTCAACCTCATACATGTGACGGAAACGTCGTGGACGACCGTTGAAAAAATTAAACATGCTAGTCTTTTTGTCGTGAAGCATCGCAGACGCGACGTAGGTTGTCGCCCACTATGACACACTATACGAGATGATACAATGGAATCTTGCGGCCCAACGCCCGCTGTCCTTTACGAATCCCCACGATACCCTACTTTAAATGGATCGCGCCAAAATCGGCCTAAAATCTTGTAATCTGAACCAGGCATAAGTTTCTTAAAATTTAGGCCCCGTTTACACGGAAAGAAAACGCAGATATTTCCCTGCGGATTGGCCTCTCGTTTACACGAAAACCCCGTTTTTATCACAGAAAACGATTATTTCTAAAAAAGTTAAAAACTCGGGCCAAAGTGGAGATTTCTGAAAACGCCGGTTATGTGTTGTCGTGTGAACTGGGAGAAACGGCGTTTTAGGTTCTCTCTTGTCGATTCTGAGGATTCTGATTGGCTTGCATGGCTTTATCCTTAACCTCTACACTGCCTCCAATAGGTTTGGCATAGTTATGATGGCGCTCGACGGCGTATTTATGCGGGTGTGTGAACAATGTTATTTTTGAAAACGGAGAGGGGGAAAATATTCGTTTTGCTAAATACCCGGCTTTGTGTAAACGTGGCCTTAAATTCCTGGATATTATTTTACAGATTTCCTCAAAATCACAAGTCAGATCACATAGACAGCTGCATGATTTGATGTAATATTAGAGTCTGTAGGGGGAAAAAAAAACATTTAAAAACTGATGATGAGCAATAGTAATAATAGTTATGCAACGACCACTGACAAACTGATAGTATCCCTCATAAAAGTGGTTGAACAAGTTATTTCCATGTCGTTTCATGGTTCCTAGAACTTTTGTTAATATTTAAACTGATCCTGGTCACCACTCACTAACCAGTGCGGTGTTGTGTTAACGTTGTAGCTGATCTGAGCATCTCTGTTGAATTTAACCTGAGGGCAGCAGCTGTTACGAGAGAACTGTCATCAGCCTCATCCTAAACAAACAGCCGCTTTCAAATGCACAGGCACAACACACAAGAAGGTCTCACGTATGACGGTGGCGGCACCGAAAAAAGAACAGGAAATCAAATCAGCATCTCCTTAAAGTCATCTTTCAGCCTCGCTGCCACCGTCACACACACTCAATTAAACACAAACTTGCTTACACACTAAGCAAACATACACTTGGAATACAATAAGTAACCATAGAAACCCATTGAAATTGTGGAGAAGTCAACAAGCAGAGCTCTGGTTATGGGTAATGTTACTGCTGTTGAGGTCTTGGCTTGATCTCCATCTCTTAAATAAGAGACAGGCATCCGTCCAGCCAGTGGGGGCAGGGGGCAACGCAGCATAATGAGGGGTAATGCAGGAAAGAAACCGATCTGAGCTGCGTAACCGCTGTAAATGGAGCAATATGTCTCATGACACCATGATAAAACCATAAACTGTAAGGAAACATAATGACATAATGCCATAATAATTCCTTTATTTCACAATCCTTCCTTCCTTTTGTCTGTGACTTATGAGTAGCATTACGAGTACGACAGAGATAGGCCTATGTTTTATTGTAGGGCTGGAATGACGTGTCAACGTAACCGATTACTTTGATTAAGTAAATTAGTCAATTTGAGTGGAATGTGTCGATTCTTCACACGTTCCCCTGGCATGCTGAAAATCAGCCGTTATTATAGAAATATTGAGCCAGATCTGAAGTGTGGGATTTTCATTTTTTTTTAACAGAGATCGAATAAAATGGTACTCTGGATGCTCTGTTAAACTGAAATGGCAAACCACAGCAACACAACTTCTATGTAAGAGCATTTAAAAAGAAAACACCCCAGGTCTCTCCTACCTCAAACGACGAGACGGCAGCGTAAGTATTTGGACTAGTACAGTGAATTTTTACACAGCTATACAAAATGGTTGTCAGTCCTATATTTTGTGCTTAATGCGGCTGCATTTATACAGCATTCAGCTTTACACGAGCTGCCGTAGGTGTGAGACGCAACGCGCATTTGAAAAAGCGAGGCGCTGGAAAGCACAATTTGTTTAAATGCAAAATACATTTTCACCTCTAGATGGGAGAAATTCCTACACATTGTCCCTTTAATTTAATGTAGGAAGTTATTTTATTTGTATTTTACTGCTTACATTTTGAATATATTTGTCTACAATGGCTGTTTGGTCGAAATGATTGAAAAACATTGAGAATGTGATTCATACAAAAATCTATTTTTTTATGGATGCACCGATATAAAATTTTTTGGCCGATAACGATAACCGATTTCTTTACATTTGAAAGCCGATAACCGATATATTGGCAGATAAATCTAAATATATATATTTTTAAAAGACTGATTACAACAACAAAAGTCTCACCATTAAAAGCCATGTCCCAAGCACACAACCCGATACCGATATAGTGACCGATATATCAGGCATCCCTAATAATTTCCCTTAAAAACATTCAAGCACCAACAGCTTCCTTTTTTCAGAGGATTAAATGAGCATTTCACCCATTTCAACATTATCTTTATTGAAAGTGGATCATATATGTAGTCGAAATGTAAAATAATTTTTGAATTTGGTGCCCTCTTGACCGAGAAAAGACAGTAAATAACCGAGGGGCGCATTTGTATGCAAGACACCAACTCCCACAATGCACCACATTGCACAGCTCCGCAAGCCACACCCACTAATCCGGAACTGCGCACACATCAGAGAAATCACTCTTCCGACTTCCGTCTACAAGGCTATCGAGCTGTCTCACACCCTTGAATAATGATGAGCTAATGTTTGTAGTCTCTAGACTTTTAAATGAAATATGACTTTCTGCGTATTATGAGGCAAAATGACGATTTTTATGTCATAATAAGCAGGAAGTAAAACACTTAAATCCTTATTTCTCCCATCTCAGGGGAAAATAAGGGAATAACCCATGACCATTCAAAAATATTACTGGGTTTGATACAAAGCTTAATGCAAATGGATGAAGTGTCCCTTTAATTCACAAGTCACCCACCACCCATAAAAACACAAAAATGGAACACAGTCTCGCACAAACCCACTGAGCTTGAAAGCTGTCCCACACTGCAAATGACTTTCTGTTGGAGACACAAAAAAACTACTCCAGAACAGTTCAAGATGCTGTAGGGGTGGTGCAAACTTTAGCCAATCTCGTCGAAGACGAAGACCTTCCTCTAGAATTTTCTTATCAAATGCACGATTCACCGTGACTTTGCATGTTCTACCATCTATGAACTGTGTACCATATTCAAGCAATGCAAGAGGTCATTGAGGGCAGTCTGCTTTAACAAGGAGTTTTTTGGGGGGTAAAAAGCAACATTAATATACTCCATATGTATGAACCCTAAAAATTCTACACAAATCAGGTCCAGATGTGCTGTTTTCTATGTGGGGATGTTATTGGTGACGTGACGGTAGGCAGCACCCTGGCTCAACCACTTAGACAACAGCCTGAGAGTGACCAGTGAACAATTACGCAAGATAAACCTTTGCATTGAACTGGAGTACCTGTTGAACCAGTTAAATTGATAGCACATGAAGGTGTTTGAGGAAATTGTTTTAACCAGAAATGCTTGACACTGCGTGAGTCAGTAAAAGATTAATGATCTGTGGGTTATAAAATTCTCTGCATCATAATCAGGTCAAAGCATCTCATTTAAAAAAAATATTTTAAGAGGTTATATGAATTTGTAGAAACATGAGCATGAAGATCCATCTGAAACCAAACAGTCAGTGAAATGTATGAAATGAGTTTGTGCATAGCCACCAATTCCAAAATATGACAAAAAAACTGCCATGAAATTTTGATGAAAATACACGTCATTGTGAAAATGCATGACATGATTTTGAAGAATGTACTCAAAAATAAAACTCACCATAAAAGTGGTCCATATGACTTGTGCATTATATTCAAAGTCTGCTGTCATATGATAGATTTATATGAGTAAAAGACCCAAATTTAAATGAAGTTTTTACTGAAAATCTACTAGTTTTATTTAAGCTATCCACTAACCTTCAGTGTGTGATGTTAACCACTATGAGATCCACACTGAGTCAGTCATGAACTTGGCTACTTGTAAGCATTAGTGCAACAACTTTTATACCCCCGTTGTCCCGATTGTCTCGCGCTTAAGTTGGTTTTGAATCCAATGACGCATCTGTGAACGTTAGTGTAGCCTAATAAAACAAATTGTAGGCTAAAGTAATTAGCCTACTGTAAAAAAGAATGTTAACTTATAAGTTAACGTTGTATCATGTGCTATTTCTCTTCGAGAGTAAAATGAAACACCCTGACACTTCAGAATATCTCAACTTCAGGAAAAAAGGAAATTGTGCTAACATATAAATGTAACGTTAAACCACAAAAGTGTAGGCTACACACATAAAGTGTCCATCATTTTCGCAACTCACCAACGATTTTTTCCTGATAGCCCTTGGTGAAGAACTGCATGGCTGTGGCGGCTCTCCACGGAGTTTTGAGCAGCCCCTGTCGCTGCGGGTCTTCCCCGAGACCCCTGAGGATAGTGGTGTACGCCGCGGCGATGCTCGGTAGGCTCATTTCGTTGTCTTCCAGACTGCGAGTGCGCTCTTCCCGCCAGCTCTCCATCACGCTGGGGGACGGCACGGTGCTCGGGTCCCCGGCGGCACCACCGGCGCGCCATCCGGGCATCTTCACCCGGCTGTCAAAGTGTCCATTGATCGCGGCATCGGTTTCATTATCACTTTGATTCATTTGTTTCTGTTTGGGGCGATCCATGATTACCTGTAAGTGACAGCTTGGGTTCCTCAAAGTCGGTTTTATTGCTACTATCTGAAAACACTGTTTAAGGTGTGACGAACAAGACTTGGGCGAAGTTCAACCGCTGTTATACTCTTGTCAAACTCGTGCTCTTGCAGAGGCGGCCGGGGGTTTTATTTACATTAGCTAATCCGTACGCTTTCCTATTGGTCCACAGGAGAGGCTGCGTCACGGAGCCTGATTCCCATTGGCCGAGAGGCGTGCTTGCGTCAGGCCACCTGTATCTAGTAAGAGGATGAGATCTCTTCTACACATTAAAGTGATGTCTTGGGGCAGATCAAACCACCTAAGGGGATTGACTGGACCTTTGGGTGAGGTTGTTCTTATGATTAAAAATAAAATCAGTGTTTTTAAAGGGAAACCCAAGGCAACCAAGAGGTTGTACTGCTGTAACATGTCAGTTCAGATCAATTTCATTTCATGTCAGTCTGGTTGCAAAAGCAAAGTTCAGTGACCTCAGAATGAACATCAGAAAACCATTCATTTCACATTTGAGGGATGCCCGTCATTACATCACTGGTGTGCAACAAGCAACGTGTACTTTCAACATGCAGATTTGCCAAGATAACCTTTAGAATAAAGAAAATACAGCAGACTAGACTCAAAATACAACATTTTAGCTTTTTATTATGGTTTTACATACAGAACAACATTTCACACACAAAACATGTGTACAAAGGAGCCAAAAATAAAGTAGACGAGACCACAGCATTCAGAGTATCACCAGATTCAAAGAGACCTTGTTATCAACCATCTTACAAATTGTTAAACAAAGAGCCCTTGCTTCATTTCAAATGCAAATGAAGAGAGACATGAACTGCTTTCAAAAGAGCTCCAACTTGAGAAAATTTATGGAGAACAAGTGGATCACAAATGAGCAGCTAATCTATTAGACAAAAAAAATGAGAGGACAGAATCACAGTAAGCAATGAAAAAACTACTTTTAAAAGTTTCCTCCCCAATCGATATTAAAATATAAATGTAAAAAATATATAAGCATTAAACTAAATTATGTTAAGAGCTATTCTTTGTTAAATGCAAATGCAGAAAGTTTAGCAGAAGTATTTAGTGGCTTTTTCTTTTTGGCACTGCCCTCGTCTGAATCCATATGTTCATCTACTTGTCCTGCTTCATCTTCACGCTTTCTTTTCTTGGGGTCCGAGTCGCCCTTTGCTCTCTCTGTCCAGCTCTGAAGGAAAAAGATACGGGATTTTTCTATACATGCACACACAAGCAATAAACTGCATCGGTCAAATAATCCTCAGTGATCGTAATTAAAAACGACTGACAAACAACTGCCAACCCAGACACATTCGTTCACGGTTGGCGTAAACAAAGGCGGAGAACATTTACAGATGACCGTGATGAGTCACCGGACCCATTTCACATATGAGCACCGGGACTCTTTCTGCACGTTCCCTCCCCTTCCCCCTCCCAATGTACGCCATTCACCATTGTAACGCACGCTTTCACTGCCTAATGCCACCCTCATGTCATTAGCATAAGATCAATGAGTACAGCACACACCCCCAGTCTGAGTTTCCAGAGCAACAGGCGTACCAACCATTCGCCCTCCAGGCTGGAGTGTGTGAAGAGTCATTCTGTCCTGCACTGAGTGGCACTGTGGGCGCGGGGTCACGAACAGATTGTTCATACAGGTGGAGCGCATGAGTGTTTTTAAAGCCCACAGATAAGTGGAGATCAGGAAATGACCAGTGTTGTCATGGATAAATTTAGTTAGAGCATAACAAAAATGGAGGAAATTGAACTAGGGGGAAAAAAAAAACGCAGGTGGATGAATGAAATCTGTGTTCCATAATAAGGAGGACACATCCAAGAAAAATGAAACAGAGAAATTCCCAGGTAACCTTCCTGGATTTAATAACTTTGCATGAGAAATTAGTAAACCGTTTTGGGATAAAATACATGTCCTATTCATGAAATGTCTTACCAGTCTTTCCTCCGCTGAGAGAGTGCGGAAACGCCCCATGCCTTCCTTGATAACATCCATTTCTTCAAAGTCAGGATTGTCTGCGAGAATGCTCTTCCTATTCTCCTCAAGCCACAGCTGAAAGCCAGTTTTTGGCCTAAAGATAATAAACTGGTTACAAGCAAGTGTTGACAAGCACTAAAAAGGACTGACAGTTCTTAAAGTCAATCCTCTGCTTCTTGATTAGGGAAGCACCACATATGGATGAACACACTGTTCAGCCAAAACAAACAGCGAAAGACTAATTAATCAACATCATATAACAATTTCAATTGGTTTGTTATTTTAAAAAAAAATAAATGAATACTGATTATGAGTAATTGTGGGATCTAAATAAATTATATATACACACTATTTAATAAAAGCAAATAAAAAATGTATACAATTACTGAAATTAAATATCGATCAATAACAGTCAACAGTGTTAATTATCTGCAATCAATCAGATTGAACTAATATTTTTAAGAGAAATTTTAATTTAATAGCAAACTCTTCATCTATGCCAGATTCTGAAGGTTCTTCTATTTTATACTATGCAGGATTTACATTTAGACGAGAGCTTCAGGCACTATTGGCCTTAATTTTAACAGCCATAAATAATTACAAAAGCAATAGTACAAACTTTAATATTGTGCATCTCTAAATTTGGGCATTTGGGCAACAATGACAATTGACATTAGAATACTTTTTCTTTCAAAAATGTAAACCAAAAAAAAAAGGTCCTTGCATAATTACAATTAAAGGTGCTGTGCTCTCTTACTTTCTGTTTTCGATATTCTCAGCTGATACTGGAGGTGTAGCCGCAGGAACTGGTTTCATTTTCTCTGCTTCTGATTGACTTTCCTCCTGTTTCTTACGGTTTCCTTTAGAGGCACTCATCTGCAGCAGTGTGGCTTGGGTCTTAAAAAGAAGGAACAAAAAAGCTACATTCAGACTTGAGGTCTTCACAGGTCCAAAAAACATTCCAAACTGGAAGAGACCCGTAATGTCCTACACTGAACCGACCCGGACCCGTGCAGATCCGAGAAATGCCATAAATGTACTGCCTGGACCAGACCTGGACCGTCTATTATTTGAAAACTGGACCCGAACCCAGCAAGAAGACACAAACCCGATTGTCTCATATTATTTCACACGAGTTGCGAAAAATAAAACAAACGCGTGGTTTGGCGGAAGCTCTGGTTGCCATAGAAACATGACACGCGCTTGAGAATGCAATCCCACGGGTATTACACACAATGTTAAACAGACCCGGGACCCGAAGTAATAGATTCAGACCAGACCCAGCTGATCATTTAAAATATAGACCCGAACCCGTACGAAAAAAAAAAGTGTTCCATAAAGAGCGTGAACAGCCCAAACAGGTCAGGTCTGATGTTTTGTAATGCGACCTCATGCTCCTTTTTCGGCACTCTAGATCAACATTTGTCACAATTCTGCGCTGATGGGAGTCACTCCAAAGATTTTACATACCGGAAGTTCTTTGGTCTTTCCTTCCATTGGGCTTTATCAATCATGGCCTCCGAATAATAATCCCCCATGCTTTTAATTCGGTGTTTACTTTCATATGACAGTGTGCTTTGCTACTGTTCTTTTGCGCATGTCACTCACTGTGAGATATGCTCGCATCTCACATATTTTTCTCTATGGCTCATTTTGTACAAGACTTAAAATCATAATGTTGCTAAAATATTCCAATAGAAACACCTCTGACATTTTACTCTAAGATTGTTTATTTCTGATAGCAGAACATTTGTAAGAGGAAAAGATAACCAGGTCATCCCTTGCAGACAAAGCCTAGAGTGAGTTTTATGGGGTTAGACAGGATGTGTGAACCCACAGGAATGGAGAATATTTGTATTTGAGCAATACACTGTACCTTGGACTTTGGTTTGGGTGCCAGGGGCTTCAGGACTGGGGTTTTGCCCTGTTTTGATGTTCCACTGAGAGTTGCAGGTTTTCTGCTGGACATTGTCATGCTGTCCAAAACATTAGTCGTTCTGGGCTGACCAGCTGGAGAACTTGAGGACTTTTCTGCACCAGACACCTGTAAGTATATATTGTAAATGTAAAAATGCACGTCAAGTATTCTTGAAACACAATACTTGTGGAGTAAGTACATACACAATACATATGGAGCTTGCTTACTTTCACTAACAACGTGCACGTCTTACCTTGAAAGGGTTCACACGTCCTTCTCTGCTCACTGTAACACACAAGCACAATTTTTAATGTCACCAGACATTCATCTCTCATGCCAGCCATTTACACCAAAGTCATTTGAAAAAAAATGTTAAATCAATTAGAAAGATAAAGATTTCATGTAGAAAAAAGTAGCAATTTGAAAAAAAAAATATATATTTCGACACTGAAAATAAAACGTTGAAGTTGACAGTTGATAGTTAATCTGAGATAAAATCCTCAGCTTTTAACTATTTTACATATTCATTTGAGTTATATAATTTTCCATTAATAGAAATGGTTTAATTTTATACTCACCAGGTTTGGGAGAAGGCCTTTCAGGTGATTTTCCTCCTTTTTTGAATGGATTCAAACCTGGCAAGTCAAAATATATTCATATCAAAAACGAATTAAATCAGGTTTAAAAAAAAAAAAGAACATTTCTTAAATCTTAAAGATTTACAAGTTAAATTGATTCTTTAGGGTCTAAATAAAAAGTTTGTAATATACTTGAATTAAAAATTCTCATTAGTATTGTAAGAACACACACATTTTACCTGGTGAAAAACAGCTCTGTTTAAAAGATTTGCGAATCGCGCAAACACGAAAGCATTTACGCTGCTCGTGGGGAACACTCCCTTCGAAAACAAAACTCAAGCTTCAGTGTCTTCAGCGGTTCGGGTTTAGGAACATCAAAATGACTGCTGTGTTCGTTATATATATAAATGTGACTTGACTTGATTACACCCAAGAACAGAACACTATAATCGCTTTCTGCTCCAGCATGGCGGACTATGATGATAGTTCACTCAGGGCGGGTCTATGTTGAAACGCTGCTGTCAATCAACAATCGGGGGAGGGGCATCCGTTTTATTGACATCAAAAAACGAACGGCTCAATTTGAGGCAGGGGAAAACATAAGGAGA